TTAAAGTTTTTGTTAAACTTTGGTACTGTTACTTTTTGCCTTGGATAAAATGCATTGCAAGATGCTGTTTTCTTACTATGTCTGTGAATCTATATCCTCAGTGTGTTGACAGAAATTGCTGGAAGCCAGACACCTGGGTGGCTCAGTCGGTTCAGCATCCGACTTTGCCTCAGGTCATGATCTCAAGGTTTATGAGCTCAAGCCCCACTTCAGGTGAGCTGGAACCCACATCCAGGTTCTGCATCTAGTGGGATTGTCTCCGTGCCCCCCTGCCCCACTCCTGCCCTTTGCTCACTTGTGCTCTCATTCTCTCTCAAAAATAAATAAATAAAATACATTTTAAAATATTTTTAAAAAAGAAGAAGTTGTTGAAGGCAGCAGGAAGAATATAAGAAAAAGGTCGCAGAACTGCCCAAACAGGAGGTTGTTCAAGAAGAGGAAGAGATAATACACGAAGACACTGAGTGAGGTATTGAATTGATATTTGAAGTTTCATAAGAGGAAATTCTTCAGGTCCAGTTCCTGACTTACCTGAAGGAATTACAGTGACATCTACAATTCCCAAAAAGCAAGACGATTCTGTACCTGAGGTAACTGTAGAAGATTCTGGTGAAAGCTCAGAAGACCTCTTGGCCAAGATGAAGAATATGTACATAATGGACTGACCTGTATTTTATTTCCTGAGTTAAAGCATATGCAACATTAATTGTTACATAATCTTTATAAAATTGTTACACTTTTTGAAAATACTATGTTACCTGTTGCTTTCTCCCTTCAACTAAATCAGTCACTTTTCTAAAAACCCATGTTGCTTTCTAGTTAAGAAAACTTAGCCATTAAAATGTTTTGGCCTTTTGGTGGGAAAAAAAGGACCAATTTGATGCTATATTTCTTTTCTTTCCAGTAATTCTTTGTAGTCTGTTTCCTGAGACCATGGGCAATAAAGTAGTATGTGGTTCTCAAATTTAGAGGAAAGGACAGGAGGTGTAACCTATTGATTAGAGCTAGCAGACATCTATCTACTCATTGTGTTTAGAATCACTGTCTGTAAGAAAACTATCCACTACTGATGATTTGGCCAACAGTGAATTTAGAATACTTAACCTATAAATTAAAAATATCCTCTCAAATGTTACCTGATGAAAATACAAGCTTAAATGTAGCCATTAGAAAATTTTGTAAGCCTATGAATTATATATTCAAAACAAGACAAAGGCGAATAAAAGGAAGCCTTTCTTCACAGATACCACAGATAAAGGTACTTCTGGAAGTACAAATTATTCTTTTTCTGCACTGACCAAAGGAAAAAAATCATTACATCTGTGGAATATGTATCTGTAGTCACTGTACTTTATTGAGGAGCGAAGAATAAATTTAGACTAAGTTCATCTAGATTGTGCCCATTATATGGGCTACCTTCTGAATACTTCATTTTAATTTGATTCTCTAGGTAATTAGATAGGTCTCTAAATTTCCTCTGTAATAACTGGCATATATTCATTCATTGGAAGGGTATCATTTACCCTGATCATGACCATTACCTTATAAATTGATAAAGTGGTTGTCTCTTGAGTTGCATACAAATAATAGAAGCTTAGAGAGCCTTGGTTAAATACATTCCCCGTGGTTTGGAGACCAATAAAAAACATGTTTGTGTAACCATTATCAGTAGGATGTTAATATGCTATGCTAATCTTCTATTAGGATGACTTTTTGCTTTGAAGATAATGAATGTCAGAATTGTATCTCTAAGGAAGAGGTGCGTAGGTGGCTCGGTTGAATGAGCATCTGACTCTTTCCATTTTTTTTTTTTTTTTAGTTTATTTATTTTGAGAGAGAGAGGTACAGAGAGAGGAGAGAGAGACTCCCAAGCAGGCTCCACACCTTAAGCGCAGAGCCTGATGTGATGCTCGAACCCACAAACCGTGAGGTCATGACCTGAGCCAAGGTCAAAAGTCGGATACAACTGACTGAGCCACCCAGGGGCCCCTGAGTGTCTTAATTTCTGCTCAGGTATTGACCCCAGGATTGTGGGATCGAGCCTCACATTGGGCTCCATGCTGATTGTGGAGCCTGCTTGGGATTCTCTCTCTCCCTCTGCCCCTCTACCCCACCCTCTCTCTAAAAAAAAAAAAAAAAAAGTTAAAAAATAAATTGTATCCGTAGGGAAGAAATGTTAGTACAAAATGAAAAGTGCAATCTCCACTTATAAAATAAAGTGCTAAAAATTTATTTCAGAAAGTGCCTCCACCCAAAAATAATAGCATTTTAAGAAATAAAAAGAATTCTCTCCTTGAACCTACATGAGCCACCTTACCTAACACCATTTTTATGTAGCCTAGAAAAATAAATTAAAATTTATACAGGAATGTTAAACGCTATGCAGTGTCACACTTGTCTCTTTAAAATTCCACATTTTAGCAATTGCCAATTAAAATTAGTGCCTTTTCTCCATGGTTTATGATTTTACAGCATTTGGCAGTGGCTTCCATGATCTCATCTTTGCCCATCTCTCACGTGTGGAGTCCAATCACTGCAGGTGCCATCAGTGAGTCTTTATATCTTGACGAGTGAGACAACATTGAGGAAAATAATTTGGGTGGGTTAGATGTTATTCTTGAATTGTGTCATACAAAGAGTGTTTGAAAACATGGTTTCAGTAAAGTGAAGCAACGTAACATACTGCCACGGCTGTTAGGTAACCAACAACGGTTTGGAAGCAGGTGACCTTTTGGCTCAGCAGTGTTTTATGATCATTTTATTCTCCAATATGTCCTTGTCAATTACAGACTATAAGTGCTTTAAGAACTGGAGTTACTAAAATCAATGTTGCCCTGAGACAATGATAAACAATATATTTTTTTCATGAAGGAAATGTATTAATTATAGTGGAAAATATTTTTAAAGTAATATTTAAGAAACACAGCTATAATGGTGCAGTTCCCATGTTTGTATTTGAATTTAGTACATCATTGCGGTTTTATTGTATTACAAAAATAGAAGCAGGGGTGCCTTGGTGTCTCAGTCAGTTGAGCATCTGACTCTTGATCTCGGCTCAGGTCAGGATCTGTGGTTCATGAGATTGAGGCCTTGTTGGGTTCCGCATTGATAGTGCTGAGCCTGCTTGGGATTCTCTCACTCTCTCTCTTTCAACTGGTCATGCATCCCCCCTCCCCCCTGGTCATGCACGTGCTCTCTCTGTCTCTCAAAATAAACATTTTTTAAAAAAGAAAAATGGAAGTGACATATAGAAAGAAGCTTCTTTTTCTTCTTCAAAAGGAAGGAAAAAGTGAAGCTGGCAAAGTATGTGGGATTAAGGGAGAGAAGACTGTTCAAAGGAGGCTATGAATAAATTGGTAGCTGCCTCACATTGCCAGACTTGAAGGGTTATTGATAAACCTCCCAGGTGTCGAAATCATGCATGATAGCAAGCATATTTGTCATAGTGTGGCACTCATATGATTAATGGCCTCATCATTAATAAATTTATTAGGAGGTTTTACTTTATCAGAATAATTTTTTTTAGAATAACTCAGGAGTAACTTTGGGAAGACTTTGAATTTCAATTTAAAAAATCAAGTTTAGAAGTAGGTGATTAAAACTTAGAAATCATTTTAAAGTAGGTAAGTGTGAGAGGAAATTGTTGATCTTAACTGATTTTAGTTTAGATGTAGAACTTATCCTAGATTGCCCATAGTTAAAAAGTAGTGTGGATCTGGCTGTGAAGTATGTGTGTGGTTGGTGATGGTGGTGTTTATCCCACCAGATTTAACTTTATTATAGTGTTCTTTAGTTTATTTTAAAGGTAATTTAGATTCACAGAGAAGTACCAAATATTGTGAAGGACCCTGTTTAGCCCAGAAATGCAGTAGGGTGGCATGGTGAATCAGCTCTTAAAATCAGCATTAAAAAATTCAAGAGGTAAAATACAAAGTAGATAATTGAGAGTCAACCCATCATTTTAGTAATGGGTTATATGCACATTTATAGTCAGTTTCTTTGAAGGGTGTGTTTATTCCGTTTTTTAAAAATGAAAGAGAAGACTATGTATAGCATTTTATTAGCCTTTTGTTAGTATTTATATTACATTCTTGTCAAATTTAGAGCTTGTTTACAGGTGGTTTGGTTAATTATTCAAGCATGAAGTGAGCATTTCATGTGTCAGATAGTATGCTCTGTGTGGCTGAAAGTAAAGAAAAATTTGTCCTTGGGCTTGAAAATGCTTTTGACTACTAACAGCTTTGCTTTAAAACTTAAATTAGCTGTAGACTTATTAGCCATCGAGACTTAATTATAATGTTTGTTCATCCGTATCATTAAAGGGTGATGTAGCTTACTAAATGTAGTTTCAAATACCACCTCTCTCCAAAAAAAAAAAAAAAGGTTAAAATTTCAGTTTTGATTAGTGTGATATTTGAAATTTTTAAACCAAGGATTTATGTGCTTTCCAGGGAAATGATTTGCTTCCCCAGGATAAGAAGTCTGTCTTAGAAATAAACCAAATTTCTCCACATTTCATTATCCTTATTTTCATAAGCATGATTGTAACACCTTAAATTCCAAGAAAATCTTCATTGTAGAGTCCATCATCTCCAAAGAATACTTAATCTGTCTCTAATAGTTCTTGAACTGTGAGCTAAGAAGACCATGTTTTTCCTAGGCTGCAGTTTTTTAAACTATCTCTATTGGCAGGTTCTACATAAGGTCTTAACTAAGAAAACTCTCGAAGCAGACATTCTTATGCTCTAGAAATGTTGTTTTCTCTTTGCCGCTGTGGATTTTGTCATCACTTAATGAAGTATTTCTCTCCTAAATGTCATATTGCAATTAAAGTACCAGATCTCAATAGGCAGCCTTACATATTATCACAAGGAATGATCAACGCTGCCCCTCCCCTTTTTTTAACCTACTGTGCAATCGAATTGCGGGATATATGTAAGACCTACAAGTTACTTCTTTGCTTATTGCTACCTACTTAACATCTTTCTCTTTTCTTTTAGGTTGTTTGATGTATGCACAGTGTCACGAACAGACAGAGAAACCAAACTAACATTAGTGTTTGAACATGTTGATCAAGACCTGACCACTTATTTGGATAAAGTCCCAGAGCCTGGAGTGCCCACTGAAACCATAAAGGTACCAAGAATCATCTTTCTGCTTGATTAAATAGTCACACTATTATAGCTTATTAATCAATCACATTCCTTCCATATGAAAATTGCCATGAGGGTGCCTGGCTGGCTGAGTCAGTAGAGAATGTGACTCTTGATCTTGTGGTAGTTGAGTTCAAAGCCTGCATTGGGTGTAAAGCTTACTTCAAAAAATTGCCAGAGCTAGAGCTTTTGGAACTTAATACATAGTTAAATATATCAACTGCGATGTTCATATAATGAGATATATTCTAATTCATTATTTTTAGGGTTCTGTGAAAAAACTGTTTTAGTTTTAACACGTACTAAAATTATTGGAAAATATTTAGATATACATTATCTGGCACTAACCTTAGAAGGTGTAGTGTTGTAAATATAGCTCAGTCTTTTTCTGATGATTCACAGACTCAGAGGAATGTAATTTGAAAGTTCACACATGAGCACATTGCATATTATAATTGTGTACTGACTCTAGGATGTAAATTATAATATGTAAATCTGAAATACTGCCTTTTAGGCTCTTCTTTCTCCATTTTTTTCCTCACTTATAAAACGTTTATAGGAAGCTTGAGTGCCACGTACTATCCTAAACCCTTGGGATTCAGGAATGATTTAAAACTCCTTAGACGTCAGCAAGCTACATGTGCTGTAATGACCAAATGTCCTTTCTTCCTTTAAGTCTAATGGAAAAACCTACTTAGAAAGTTTTGTTGGTCATACTTCTGTTCTGCCTAATGGAACTTCGCAGTAGATCTTTTAGGTCTACGCACATCATGTGCAGGTCTTCATGAAAGACCGTTCTGTTTATGTGAATTAAGTGACCTCACTAAACAGTCTCTTTACCTAATCATTCATTGTTGAGAAATGAGTTCTGGGATTCACCACCATTTTAGATAGTAGGGAATGGCTGGAAATAGTTTATCTTGTCTTTCAGTGAGAGCCAGTTGGTGGTGTCAGATACTGACATATTTGGAAGTTTGACATATTGAGTGATTTATTCCTTTGGTTTTAGATTGATGAAGAGTTTATGTTCCCATCTGCCTTTCATAAAAGAATATAATGCTCAGTAGTGCTCTCATTTCTTCCTGAGCAATTTCAAGAACTTGAAGGCCCTTTAAATGTAGGTGTCCTTACTTAATCTGTTTTTGGTCCTCATCTCTTCCATCCCTGTACCACTCTTCCCTCTGTACTTCTATTCCAGTTTTGTGGTTTTAGTTCTCTCCTTTCTAAGTTTGTCTAAAACTTTGTAAGTTTGTCAGCATGCAAGGCATATCCCCTTTTCATGGACTGTATGTTCTGCCAGAGTAGACTCTTAGTGTGGTTCATAATCTTCTATCTATGTAGTTCTCTTTCTAGTGCCACTTCTGTGCTTCCCCCACCAATACCCATCTGCTTAAATATCTGGCTCACCCCAGATAGTGTTTGATCAACTTTCACACCTGGATACAATCTCCTTTGTCTTACAGCACTAGTTCTATACATCTCTTCTTTGTTATATTTTCTACCTTTAATTGTGATTATTTATATCCATATTGTATCTACTCATTCATCTTTGTATCTTGACAGTCCCTACACAATGATTTATACACATAGGTACTAAATAAATAAGACACAGTGACAACCTTTCTTCAGATATAATTATTTCAAAATTATTTTCAAATGATTTCTAACATCTTAAATATATACTGTCAAAGTAATCATCAGCTTCTTCTGATGTGATTAGTTCAAAGTTCAAAATTATTTTGAAGGGGGAGTCATTTCTTTAAGCAGCATAACAAGATAACCATATATATATATGTATTTTATATATATATATATATTATATATACACACACATTTTCACACACACACACACACACACACAGCATACATTATCACCTGCATATGCAATTTGAGCTTCACATTAAATCCTCCTGGCATTAGAGGCTACTAAGTGGAATGGTTTGCCAAAAGTATTATGTAGTTAAAGTCGTTGATAAGCCAGAGTGATGCACTAAACTATGGTTTGATAAAGCAGGAGCAGAAACAAAATGGCTTAGGGGGAATTCTTTTTTTTTTTTTTTTTTTAATTTGAGAGAGAGCGAGCACAGATGGGGTAGGGGCAGAGAGAGAGAAGGACAGAGAGTCTGAAGTGGGCTGTGTGCTGACAACAGCGAGCCCAATGAGGGGCTCAAACTCATGAACTGTGAGATTATGACCTGAGCTGCTGTCAGATGCTTAACCTACTGAGCTGCCCAGGTAGCCTGGAGGGAGTTCTTAGGGGTGGGGGTGCAGGGGTAAGTAGGATAAGATGAGGAACAGGCAGAAAGGTGATCACCAAAGTGAGGGAGAGGAGAGGAGAGGAGTTTGGAGAGGTATCTGAGACAAGATTGATGGTAGAAGATGGGGGAGAGGTGGGGGAGGGGGAAATAGTGCTTGTGACCAGAAGGTTTTGACAAAGTGAATTGTTTTGTGGTTAATGATATATCGATGCTTTCATAGTAAATTATGAAATATTTCAGGCGGTTAATGTGTATGTCAATGGTTAATTGAACATTTTTGCTAACTTGAAGGCTAGTCATAGGACCTCTTTTGTCTTCATCTTTAGCTTTTGAAAATTTTCTGAACTATGCTATGCTAATCTACTTTTCTTCCTTATCAAACATAAAAATGTTTTTTTAAAATAATTTGAGTGTGTGTGGTCTTTTAAGGCCATTAGTTAAAACATGAATAATCACTTAAAAGCATTATAAAACCATCTAATGTATAGTTTTAGGCCAAATACACAAATGATAGAAAATTATTTTTAGTAAAGACTTGTACTTTTGGGGGCACCTGGGTGGCTTAGTCGGTTAAGCGTCCGACTTTCGCTTAGGTCATGATCTCGCGGTTCGTGGGTTCGAGCCCTGCGTCGGGCTCTGTGCTGACTGCCAGCTCAGAGCCTGGAGCCTGTTTCAGTCTGTGACTCCCTCTCTCTCTGGCCCTCCCCTGCTCACGCTGTCTCTCTCTCTCCTAGAAATAAAACATTAAAAAAAATTTAAAAAAAAAAAAAAGGCTTGTACTTTTATTTTTGTGATCGACTTCTTTTTAGGAGTTGATATGCAGGGTAAATCTGCTAAGTAAAGAGGTTCTGATTAGTCGGAGTTCTGGTTAAGTGAATTTTGGAAGTGCACAGCCAGAGAACAGAAATGTTTCATTATTGTCTAGGCTTAGTTATAGGAAATCTCAATAACTAGATAACTAGATCAAGAGAATATTGTTATTATGAACAACCTATTGGGAACACAGTTGGAGTCTTATATAGAATGTTTTGTTGTAAAAAGAGTTTTTCTGAATATACTGCTTTAATTATTTATTGAATATTTATAGAGAGTTTCGTGCTAGCATTTGGAGAACACAAAAGTGATAGTCATGAAGCTATTCTCAAGGACCTTATACTATAAGAGAAGAGATAAAGTGCACCCAGAAGCATGTGGTACCCATTTTCTGTGGTTATTTCAGTAGTTTAGGGTGTGTTTTCAAGTAAAAACAACAAAACTTATGAATGAGCACAATATAGCTGATTCTTTGTATTATGGAACCTAAATATTTTCTAAAATTTTCTTCAAAATCATAGATATTAGTATTGACATTGGCTTACAAGTGTCTGAACAGAACAGATTGTAAACCGTACATAGGCAGAAAATCTTAACACAAAATTGATGTAAAACAGAAAATCAAGAAAAGACCTCATATAAGATCATTTAGGCTAAAGGAATTTTCCTCAACTACCTGTCCTCTACCGTGTTTTCTGTGTCACTGTTTACCTGTTATCCACTTAAGTTCAGGGTATTCTAGTCCCTGCTAAGGACATAAATTGCAGGAAGTGAACAGTACGTGGTTAAAACTGGGATGCTCCTTGGCCCCTGACTGGAAATTATAGAGCTAAAATCTTTTTGTTCAGTGCTATTTTTATCAACATGTTTGTTAGAAAAGATCCTGCGATGACTTATTTGACCTGCTTTATGTAGATCACATAATATTTTTTCTTTTTTAAAAGTTTATTTTTATGTATTTTGAGAGAGAGAGAGAGAGTGTGTGTGTGTGTGTGTGTGTGTGTGTGCGCGTGCGAGTAGGGTAGGGGCAGAGAGAGACAGGGAGACAGAATCCCAAGCAGGCTCCATGAGCTGTCAGCACAGAGCCCGACATGGGGCTCAAACTCACAAACTGTGAGATCATGACCTGTGCCGAAATCAAGAGTCCAGTAGACGCCTAACCGATTCAGCCACCTAGGCACCCTGATAATTTTTCAAATGCATTTAAATACCACTTGTTACGAAAAAATAGAAAAGGCAGAAAAGCACCCCTGAAGCTCTAAGTATTTGTGAAGGTTGGTGGTTGGGTGAACTCACTGGGGAAAGCCTGCATTTACTGTGTGGTGGTCATGTCAGACTTCGGCAAGGTAGGTCAAGGGTATAGGCCTGAACTGAAAATTGCCATTGAGAGGCTCATAAGAATAAAATAAAATCATTAGTGGTTCTTTCCAACATTTTAAAGTACACCTTATTCTAAAAAAATAAATAAATGCATGTATACATCCTCTACATACTTCATCTTGAGATCTTCATCATCTCTTCTTGATTTTCTAAGATGCATCCATTCATGCTGATAATGACATTTGTGTAGAGGAGCCTGCTGACTGCTGCGCTCAGATATCAACAAATATTCACATTTTGCTTCATAGACTTAACCATTGCTGTATTTTGTTTTCCTTTTTCTACTGCAGAATGATATCTTTTGATTTTCTTTATTATGGATGAATTCAGTGCCATCTTTATTTTTATATTAGATTTGATACTGTTTTCTTGGACTTGCTGCTTAAATTTACGAGTCAATAATTGATAGTCTTGTTTTTTTTAGGATTCATGATAAACTTAGAGTCTCTGTGCTTATAGAGCACTTTTCATATATGAGGGCTTTATGAGAAAAAAGGGCTTCCAGGTTTTTTTTTCTCTTTCATGCCTTTAT